GTGACAGGGTCACTTTAAAGGGATACACAAAACAGCGCTGGCAACCCGTTCAACTTGTAGCCCGATATTGTGCATGAACTGGGAACCACTGGTGCTCAGGAAAGGCTCTGTCCACCTCTGTAACGACTATAGCACCGGTTCCAGCACACAGCTTCATGCTCCAATCCTTAAATATTACATGAACAGTGCACATCATAAACCCCCTAATGCATCTCAGCCATACATGGCCTTAGTCGTAGCTATGACTAAGGCCATGTGTAGCTGAAACACATTAGCGGGTTCATGATGTGAACTGTTCATCTGATATGTAATAAAGGATCAGCTGTGTGCTGGAACCTGTCTTATTTTCATCACTTTAAGGGAGCCTGTTATAGAAGAAATATTGAGGAGTTTTTTTAGGAAAAATGCAACAGGAGCTGCTGAAGCATGTGAAGGACGAAGATCACACCCAAAACTCTCTGCTGGACAGAAATTGTGGCAAGGAGTTCTCGCTGTTGGAGGAGCCAAGACATATAACAATCCTAAAATAAATAAAATGTCCCGTTTTAGTGGACTTACCCTTTAATTTACCCATAGACTGCGATTGTGTAGGTATAATCCAAGAACCCTCATGGAAAGCTATCGCTCTATAAACTTGTACATGTAGCTTAGAATCTTAGAGGTCATCTTTTTACTGTTTATCCTCTAGTAACCTGAAAACTATGTGTTACAGTTGTAAGAACAAATTCATCCACCAGTGACTGCAGTCACTGTATGGGTATTCTGACCACTGTGAGCACTGGCTGTCAGAATACAATAGCAGGCAGGAAGATTGCCCCATCCACACAGTATGGCCAGCTTCTTTACTGCATTGCCTTCCTCCAATGTAGTCCCATGTCTAAGAACCCGCCGACATCAACAGACACTCAAACTGGCAAAAGAGGGTCCTCATAAAGGAATGTAATTTTACAAAAGCCATTTCCTTTCTCTCTCTCTCTCCTCCATCCCCCCCGTAAATAGTAAATACAATGGTTTTGCCTGTGGTTCTTGCATGGCTTTTAGCAAGTGTTGAACATTTGGATTCAGTGGAAACTTAAAAGGTATTACATTCTCAGAGTTCTTCTTTAAATGTGCTTTTAGGAACCCTGTACAATTGACTGTACAGGGTGAGAAAATACAGATTAATTAATTAAATCTGTTTGGATCATACAATATGTGAGCGGCCATTCTTCACTCCTGAGGGCCAGGTTGGCAGATCGTACACTTTCTACAGCAGTGTGAAGTGGAGGGGCAGTTCCCTGCACTGGCCACATAGTGAAGGGGAAACATGTCATGGTAGGGTTGCCACCTGTCCTGTACAGTCCGGGTTTTGAATACTGTGTCTGGGTTTCATGGCAGCAGAAACCCAGACACAAGATGTCAGGCAGACAGGGGCAACCAAAATTAAGATAGGGGATACTGGCCCCCCACTGAAAATAGTCTCAACTGTGATATTTACATACGAATGGGTGGCACTATTTACATATGAATAAGCCGCTACTCATTCTCCCAAGAAAAAAATGTCTGTGCGTTGCTAGAGTGTGCAGGTTTCACTTGAAGAAAAGGTGGCAACCCTATGCCATGGTCATCAGCACAAACTGGGCAAATGATTAAATGTTGCCTGTAGGGGAGAAAGCAGTGGGAACTCTCTCTAATGGGAACACAGGAACATTTTATATGGTATCCTATGACAGTCAGGAGACATGTAAAGTTGGAATATTTGTTCCTGTGTGTGACCACTTCTCATCAGCATATCATACTTCGGTAGCATTCATGTTATGCAATGTCGGCTTTCATTGCATTGGAATGTGTATATCTACGGAGTTGAAGACCATATCTGACTGCCTTCAGACAATTGTTCCATTCATTGACACAAATTCAACAGTTCTTGTTCACTATGCACAGGGGAGGATTATGAGCACCCAGATGATTCCCATGCCGGCCTATTAGGGGAAATCTTGATTACTGGAAAAAGATTTTCCAACCTGTTTAGGTGACTCCCAGAACAATTGGCCAGGGGTCTTCGTTTTGGGCAATGGACATGAGATTGTTGCCTCTACGTTGTAGATAAAATCATTATTATGTTCCATTGACTCCAAAGAAAGCCAAGAGCTCTGGAGGCCGGAGGCAGGAGGCTGGTGGCAGGCCAGGTTGTGTATACTTGGCATTAAAGCAAGTTCTGTATCCTGGGTCCATTTAGAATTTTGCTGCAAGGGGTGCTTGAATCTGACAAGTTCTTTTTTTAATGACCAACCCCGGACTCATCTACTGGAACACTGTATATCCTTACAGAAAAAAGGGGTTTTAAAGAAAAACCCCAGGCACAAATTTCAATAACCCTTGCAGTGGGACTACACCACACTACAAGTGTTAACTGCTTGTTTTGCCTAGGGTAAAAAAAAAAGTTAGACTATTAGACCAATCCCTGGAACCTCTCTCCCCCTCCGCTGCAGCTGTCCAAGGTCCCTGAGTTATCACATCCAATACAGTGTATATGATGTGAGGAGGTTCAGGGACATATAACCCAGCAGCAGAGAAACAGACAGCCTGGAAGGAACCTAGGCAAAAACAAGCAGTTAATCCTTGCAGTGCAAGGGTTAATTAAATGTGTGCCCGGAGTTCTACTTTAAATGTGGTATTGTGGAGGGATCATTGATCAATACACCATCCATTTATATAAAATATAACAAAAGTTATTTATTAGTACAACATATATAAAATCACAATACAAAGCACTAGTGTATTTATATATAATAAAAGATTCCTCATTATTGAGATACTGCCCAAAAGTCAGTGCCCGGACCTTAGGACAGTGTCTCAGTGATGATGAATCTTTGAGGATACTTTATTATATATAAATACACTAGTGCTTTGTATTGTGATTTTATATATGTTGTACTAATGTACATGTTACATAAATGGATGGTGTGTTGATCAATGATCCTTCCACAATACTACATATGAAGAAGAACTCCGGGCACAGATATACAGTATCTGTATAGATATATTGGTAGTTCTGTAGGGGGTTGGCAGTTGTTGTCCATAGATAACTATAATGTTTGAAGGTTTCTCATTTATATTTCGACCCCATTCAATCTGGAAAGAATTGGTCCTGAATTGGGCCATATAGTACAGTGCTGTTAAAACAGAAGGTATATACAGTATATCACTTATATCCTAAACTTTAAAAAAGATTAAGGACCAAGTTTACCGTCCACAGAGGGACTTGTAGTTCTCTATGGAATACAAGTGTGTTGAGGTCACCATACTTGAAGTCCATTAATCCTTTCACCCGCTTATGTTACTGAATGTCCATAATGAGGACATGGACAGGAGGAAGAGTCGGCAGGAGCCAGAGCATTGCACCTGCCATTCACTTATCACAGTTGCAATGCTTTATTGGCTGCATTGCAGAAAATAATAAATGCACTTTTTTTTTCTTTGATGAAGAAGTCTGCATTTATAGTTGGGTTTTTTTTCTCTAAATGGTGGAATTTTCCTTTAAGTAGAGTATATGAAGCCATGCAAATCCTTTATTTATGTCTATGACCTTTGCTTCTATTTTTAATGCGATCAATCATTCAGTCTGATTGTTTTAACTAATTGGATGTCTGAAAAGCAACATAGACATTACATCTCCTCATCAGTCTGATAATGTTTTATGTCAAACTTTTGTTTGGAAAAGTAAACAAAAATTTGATGTGATTGTTTAAGAATTGATCAATTGTTCCATGCGGTACATGATGTGAACATCACTCCCTAAAGGCAAGCAGCTGTACTGTGGTAAGATGAAAGGCCCTGTATTCAAGTCTGGATCATACCATGCCATACACTGTCAGTTATTCATCCAAAGTCAGGCTTGTCATACATGCTGATCTAATCTAATCTAGCATCTGCGGTTGGCTTTAGGCATGTAAGCCGGCAAATTTGTTTTGTTTCTGATTTTTCGTTTTTCGTGAATCAGGTCCGATAGTCAGTTCGGTTCGGGATTGATATTCAGGCGAAGCTGAAATTTTCATTCATTTCAGAAGTGGTAGTATTTACAAACAAATTTTCATTGCAGCAAAGTGACATTAGGGCCAAAAAAAAAGACATTTTATGAAAATTAAAAAAAGTATGGGGTGTCCCCCCCCCCCCAAATGTGTATAAATTGGGGGGGGGGGCATGCTTTAGGTCTGGTAGGAATTTTAGAGGGGACCCCAATGCCAAAAAAATAAAAAAAGTGTGGGTTCCCCTCTAAAATTCCTACCAGATCCTTGATCCAAGTTGGCCCCCTGGAAAAGCACCTTGTCCCAGGGACAAGGGCCTCTTCAGCCAAAAAAAAGTTAATTACGAATAACATTCGGAAGAAAATTCGGATGCATCCGAAATTTCCGTTTGGATACATTTGGATTCGTTATTTTTTCATTCGGAAATTCAGATGCAACCGAATGTGCGAAAATTTGTCCAAATTTTAATTCACAACAAAACGAATCGCTCATGTCTAGTTGGTTTTTCTGTACCATTTTGATAGATTTTTTGGAACTATCTAGAATATTGCACCGTGGATGTTGTCAGTATCGGGATCCATTGCATCTCTATGTAAACAAATAACACAGGAGCCAAAGCATCGACTACTGGATCAGGATGGCAGCTTTGTGTGTACATTATTTTTGTTGTTGATAGTTGTTTGACACAATTGTAAAAGTAAGTAAAGGCAGTTTCCTTTAGCGTTTTCTTTTAAAATGATTGCCTGTAAATGTCACGTTTTATTTACAAATTCTGCAATATTTTAGTGGGTATGCATGATTTATAAAGCAGATGATAGGCCTTTACATTGCAACGTGCCATTTTTCTTTTTACCAGCACGTTTGTAGTGATGTACAATTGCTGAGAAGAGGAATCATGTGCATGTGATGCTTTTTGACCTCTCAGGACACCGTAGCAGCAGTGGGAAGGTTTCAGAGCTCACATCCACTGAAGCATTACTCCTCATTTGTTTTTTTTGGAGCAAATAGCAGCCATGAGAGCTGCAGTTCAGGCCTTGTAGTCAGGAGGAATCAGGAAAGATGTTGAGAAGCAGAGATCAGGATGCTATGTTGTTGGTGCTAGCTGCTGGAGTGGCTGCAGCTGTCCAGACTAGGAGAGCAATGCAACCACCTGCAGATGGGGAAGGTCAGGAGCAGGTTGTCCCTGTTAGGATTAGACAGCCCCGTATGTTCAGGAGGCGTGCATACCTCCTGGATGGACTGTCTGATAATGAGGTGGTGAGAAGATATCGCTTGTCTCGGCCAGCCATCCAAGAACTCCTTAACCTGGTCGGAGAAGACCTGGAGCCGCAGACAAAGCGGAACAAGGCACTGCCCGGCGTGAGCAAACTGCTGGCAGTCCTTCACTTTCTTGGCAGTGCCACATTTCAGCCAGTCACCTCCCTCCTCAATGGTATGAGCCAACCCACCTTTTCCAGGATCCTGAGACAGGTGGTGGAAGCCATCATGAAGCATTCCAGGAAGTTCGTCAAATTCCCAGAGAGCACGGCTGAGTGGCAACAGGTGAAACATGACTTTTTCTTGCTGGGAGGGATGCCGGATTGCCTGGGGGCCATAGACTGCACCCATGTTGCGCTTGCACCTCCTCGCGAAGGAGAGGAAATGTTTCGAAACCGGAAAAATTTCCACTCTCTCAATGTGCAAGTGGTGTGCGACTCTCACTTACGCATCATGAGTGTGAACTCTGCATTCCCCGGAAGCTGCAATGATTCTTATATCCTTCGTCAGTCAGCCCTGTTTGATAAATTTCATCAAGGACAGATGCCGGAGGGCTGGCTCATGGGTAAGTGGGAATTATGTTTTTGCTTTTTTTTTTTATTAGGTTGTGTTGATGACTACTGATTCTGTTTTACCAGGAGATGCAGGATATGGGACGCAGACGTGGTTGATGACCCCTTTGAAGGCAACGAAGACAGTAGCGGAGAAGCGGTACAACTGTGCCCACCGGAAGACTAGGAACTGCATAAAGCGACTCTTTGGGGTGTGGAAATCACGTTTCCGGTGTCTCTCCTCCACTGGCGGAAAGCTGCTCTATGCTCCTACCAGGGTTGCAGACCTCGTAATTGTCTGTGCGGTGCTCCATAACCTTGCTTGTAAACATGGTGTTCTACAGGATATTGATGAGGAACTCCCACCTGAGATTGAGGGACTTCCTGCGGCCGATGGGGACTCCTCAGATGCAGGTCGAAGGAGGAGGGCTCAGCTCATCGCCTCCCACTTTGCTTGTGAGTAAACCCTTTTTTTTTTTTTACACCAACACTAGGGTCTAACATGAAACATGGTTTCTTAGGCAGAGTGACATGTTTGTTGTATAGTGACCACTCTGCTTTAAAATACTGTCCCCTTTCTGGCCAGAGCATCCCAGGTTGCTAAGAGCTGGGCAGCTAGATGTGTAAGGGCCATGCACATCTCCACGCCCAGCTCTTAGCAACCTGGGACCCTCTGGCCAGTGTTCTATCCAGCTTCTGGCAACCATTGATGTCACTGGGACATCAGCCAGAGTGTCCTCCCTCTCCCTTCCCACTGCCTCAGGCAGCAAAATGGCTAGGGACACCACTGTTTACACCGTAGCTTTCTCTTTACAAATGAGAATGGTGAGCGGTACAGTAGTGACATCACCACTCCAATTCTCCGGAGACTAGTAGTCAGAGGCAGCAGTGCCTTTGACCTCAAACTGCAAATATAGAGCTATGAGGCAGTAGTGCCTAGACACAATCACATACCAGGAATTACACTGTTATTTTTCAGGGGTAATTGAAGACAAAATATTGATTTTTTCATGCTAATGCTCAGGCGCAATTTACAATTTATAAATGTTCTCTTTAACAAACCATATATTACCTTTTTGAATTCAGATCCACATTAAAGTTGGCCCGGAATTTAAAAAGCGAAGGTTAGCTGTACATCTAGGAATATTGATTGTGTCTAAGCATGGCCCTATAACTGCAGTCTTGAAGTCCTCCTGTGCACTGTCTGTGCCTTCAGCCTCATATCTGTACCTCTGCAGTATGAGATCCTAAGGCACTGCTGCTGAGATTCAGTGATGTCACTTCTGTGCGGCTCACTGTTTTCCTTGCTGGAGGTTCTGATATGAGGAAGCAAAAACTTGCCTCTACCAAGATGTCCGCCTCCAGACAGAGCAGCGCAATGATCAACTCAGTCAATATTGGTAACTTGTCATTTGTCTTCTATCTTCCACAGCTTCCAGATTTCAGTTCAATCAGCCCTTTCAATTTGAATAGGCCCTCATGAAAATTGAACGTGCACTATTTTTAACAATGCAGCAAACATTAACACAGAGCATTTGCAGCTGAACATTGTGGTGCACTGTAATGTGGGTGCAATTATTTAAACTCCATATTTGCACTGGGATGTCATTAAAAAGTGCGTTGCAGATTACCACGCATTATTGCATGTGGTGTGAATGAGCTTACTGAGGAAAAGTTGACCTGTGTAATATATTGAATAGGAAAAAGAGTAGACTATGGGCTAATTACCAGTTTGCTTCTGTCAGGAAAGATGATGGAGACGTAGCATTGATCAGAAACATTGATTATAGAAGACAACATAATTACTTCATCTAAAAACAGTGAAATAGAGTTCTCCTAAAACTTTATTACTTATCTGCCTGTCTCCAGATTAGGTGTATTGTTATTGCTATATGCTGCAATGGTGTGTGTCCTAAAGGTAAACTATTACTAAGCTGACTCTCACTTTTCTCTGGTGTTTGACATCTGTAGTGATCCACATTTTAGATTTGCAGGTTAGATTATGTCGTTTTTTTGTTGTTGTTTTTTTAATTATTATTACAAAGCTATAAACAGCTGTTCTCTGTAAAGCCGGCATTTCATTTTCTAGGCCTTGTTCTCTGTATTATGATGAATATTTATTTTTCAGAGTCCAGAGAGGGTGGATGGCTGGCCCCCTAGCAGGGAATGTGTGTACTGCCTCTCCCTTCGGTAAGTACATGTGATTGTAAGATGCCCACTAAAGAAGTTCACCAAATTCTTAACCCTTGCAATGGGGCTACCCCCACACTGCAAGGGTTATGTGCTTGTTTTGGTCTAGGGTCACAAATAAGAAATAAATACTTACCCAAACCACTGCTGCTAGACCAGTCCTTTCAGCTTGTCCTCTGCTCCAGCGATGGAATGTCCTTTGGCTTCCTCCTGTTCGATACAGTGTATAGGACATGATGACTCACAGGACCTCAGACCACTAGAGCGGAAGGGGAGAGAGGCTGAGGGCACCGGTCTGACAGCCAGGTGGCTACAAGGTTCAGGTGAGTATAACTCTTCCATTGTAGTGCTTAGACAAAAAAGAGCACTTAACCTTTGTAGTGAGGGGGTAGTCCCACTGCAAGGGTTAAGAATAGTTATTCCCGGAGTTCCTCTTTTAGAAAGGTTTACATTAGTATTGTGGTAAGGATCATCTTTGTACAAGTGGTACATTTTCTACAAGTATATTTTGTAATGTACTTACGGACATTATTGTGTATGGATGTGTGTGGGTATTCCTCTGTGTTTATGGGGAACATTGTAATAACGATAAAAAGGAAGGTTTCCTTGAACATGCATTGTAATATATAATGGAAATTATGAAGTCTGGCTTAAAAAAACCATTTATATTGCCTTCACTGACATGGTCTCCTCCCATCAGACACCAACTGCCCACATATGCATCCTTTCTTGGGGTGCCTTACGATAATCGCGGGAAATCCCACGAGCGTACGATTATCATAAGGTGTGTGGAGGCCGTGCGACCTCTATTACTGTAAGGTCGCACGACTTTTAACTTACGAACATGTTCAAAAACCTGGCGAGCATCGTACGATGTTTGGCGGGTGTGTAGCATGTTCATAATAAAAGCCGGACGGGCCGGTGCGCGCAAGCGCACACTGCCCGTTTGGCATTGCGGTCATCGGAAGCCCGCCCCTCATGGGGGCGCGGCTTGCGATCATCATTGCAATGTGCCTGTCCAAGATAGGCAGATCGTAAGTTTTTTAAATTACCTTACAACCATCGCAAGACAAAAGTCTTGCGATGGTTGTAAGGTGTGTGCCCAGCCTTGTGAAGTGATTTGCAACTTAGTCCAATTGTGCTTTCTCACTGCTTTACAGCAGGAACATGAAGATTGTAACTGGGCTCAGTTGATAGCTCCTGCCTAGGTTGCCTTGTGGATGATCTGACTGTGATGCTATCTACTAAAGTAAACCCTCACCCTAAAACTTAACTTCTAAAAGTGACCTGTTAATGCAAAACCCTACCACTGCCTAACCCTGAACGCCTAAGTGTAATACTAACCTAACCCCTAAACTATTGGGTTAGTAGCCTGCTGCCTACTTGCGTCATCCTGTTCTGGGAGCACTAACATGGTATTCAGGTCCTGCACTGAATTATGCAACGCTTAGTTCCCAGCGACAAAAGAAACTGCTTTTAAACAAACTAACTTTACCCCAAAGGCCAACACATAATGCGAATGGACCCAACATGTTTGGGTAGTGGTTTTCATCATGGGGTGTGTGTACAGCCCCAATCATTGCAAAGTGTGGAGAATAAGAGCTTGTTCACACCATGTTCATTAAAATGCATTTCTCTGCTCACCACTGCACATCAATGCATGGTATACAGGGCACATAGCAATCAGTTATTAAGCGTTGACACCATGCATGTGCGGTGGTGTACAGAAACACATGCTCATCAGTCTTGTTTTGTGTTTCCTTCCAACAAACTCTCCATAGGATGAAGTGATGTCCTGTTCTGAGGCTATCCGGAAGAATGTTTTCAGAAAATACTTCTCTGTGCGGGTTTTCAAAACAGTTTTCCATTCAGAGCTCGATTGATCACAACAGCGGATGCCAACCCATGACAGCGAAGATCTTTACTGATGCAGCATGTACCTTGAAGAAACAACAAGAGTCACTGTATGATGCTCAGGTATATCACAGGAATAGAGCTGTCAGGAGTTCCTGGCAGTGTACACTTCTAAAGTGCCTCACTTCTGTGTGTCAGGCCTAAAACATTAGGCAAAGAGTCCCCACTAATGACAGTCCTAAAACATTAGGCAAAGAGTCCCAACTAATGACCGTCCTAAAACAGTGAGGCAAAGAGACCCAACTAATGACAGTCCTAAAACATTAGGCAAAGAGACCCAACTAATGACAGTCCTAAAACATTAGGCAAAGAGACCCAACTAATGACAGTTGTAATATTCAGGGCGGACGTGACACGTAGCCAGCCATATCAGAAAATAAACTTTTATTCATTTCCACAAACAGTCCAAAGTAAATGGCTTATATTCAGCAAACACAAGATTCGGCTCAGCGCCTGTATACTAAGTCCCACCTCAGGGTTAGAGTCCCAGCCTGCTCACAGGCTGGGACTCCCACCACAGGCTCTGAATACAAGGTGACCTTAACGGGACCACCACCTAAACAAGGGAGGGATATACCGTCCATCCAGGACCCATTCCTGGCGTCCTGTACACAGTCCTAAAACGGTGAGGCATAGAGAGCCAACTGATGACAGTCCTAAACAGTGAGGCATAGAGAGCCAACTGATGACAGTCCTAAACAGTGAGGCATAGAGAGCCAACTGATGACAGTCCTAAACAGTGAGGCATAGAGAGCCAACTGATGACAGTCCTAAAACAGTGAGGCATAGAGAGCCAACTGATGACAGTCCTAAAACAGTGAGGCATAGAACTAATGAAAGACCTGCAAACTACAGACCCTAAACTTTAGTATGACAGTCCTTGCCACTGGTTAGCTCCATTATCTCTCACAGATAACTCCTGAATTGCAGTAATGGTGCAGGAAAGGTCTGGCTTCACTACAGAGGGATCTTATTGCATGTTAGTGGATCGTCGCAACTTGTCAACCAATGTACTTGGTTGGATTATCTGCCTTGAAGGGGATACCCAAAATGGTGCAGCACCACTCCATCAATTGCATTGTCCTGCTGGCACAGCTTTTCTCTATGGCCACAACCCACAGAGACTGCCTTAGCTAAACTGTGTGCCCTACACAACATAAGCTAAACACAGGACAGGATGTCTTCAATCCCTTACTGTGCTGGGGATGCCATACTCCATGCAACACACTGCCTACCTAAGCAATCGTGTCCATACTTGAAAGGTTACATTGGTTGTAATAAGCATACATTGCTGAGTACTCCTGTATGTATACACAGCGTCTTATGAGCAGGATTGACTTTTGCTCACATGGTTTTGGGACATTGCTTGACCTGATTGCTATTACATGCGTTTGTTAGAAGTTTTGGACACTTGCACATAAAATATCTGTTGTTTAAGATGTTTAACCGTTTCGGTTATTTTCCTCTTTCAGAAACTTCTCTCTATAATTGCTCAAACACCAAGGCTGGATTTACACCTGTGTGGTGCTGCGGTGAAATTAATTCTTAATGGTATCCTAACGCACTGTACCATAATGCCATGTGGTGTGTCGCACTGCAGGACAATAGAAAAGTTACATGCACCTTTTTGGTGTATTTTAGTGTGCTAGAGAGTGCATTCAAATGAATGGGTGGGCATAACACAACGCACTTTAACGTGAAGTAAAGCGCAACACGTTTTGTGTGAACACACTGCAAAGGTGTAATTATAGCCTCAACGATTTACATAAGGACCCTTAATGGAACAAAAATGTCTTGTTGTCAAAAGCACCCACATGTTCAGTATTTTGTATTTCTCAGTTATTTGTATAACCATTATAAAATGTTTGTCGTACTGGAATACATTTATGTTTGATCTAATAATTTATATTAAATTCAATCTTGACTCTTTTATGTGTTAAACAGTGAATGGGTTGTCCAGTCATTTGGTGCACACATCTGATTAAGTATGTTGTATGTATGGAGATCCTGGGTCTGTTCATACTTCTGGGATTTTTAGGTGCAGTTCTTCTACTCTGTGTTTTTTTTAATGTTTTGATATATTGCAATCATGGTAGAAGGCACAGAACATGTATTTTTTTATGCATTATATATTTGATTCATTACCATTGATTCCTGTTGGGTCTTAAAAGTGAATTAGTGTTTGTTAAACTATAGTCAGGGCTTGAAAATCCACTCGTCTGCTCGTCTGTGACGAGCAGACAGTGGAGCCCGACGAGCAGCTTCCGGGCCGGCCGTTGTAATTACACGGCCGGCCAGGAGCTTAAAGGCCGTGACACACTGCACACGAAGCAGCGCGTAGCGGTGGTGCGCTGCCTTTGCGAGCAGTGTGTCATGTCACTTTCTTCTCGGCACCTCAGCTTGCGAGTGCTCGCAGAGCTGAGCGTGCCGAGATGAACAATTTCAACTTCAGCTAATCGGCTCGCGCGTATAAACAGGCGCGACGGGATACGACGTCTGGCCGGTTGTTACAGACGAGCCGATTGGCTGAAGGTGCAGTCAATCATCTGACTGCACTCAGCTCACACACTGCACGCGAAGCTCTGTGCCGGAGAGCTTTGCTTCGCTCTGCGCGGCTTCGCGTGCAGTGTGTCACAGCCTTAACACAGTCAAGCGATCGAGCGTCTCTAGAGACGCTCGATAGCTTGTATTAGCAGCTGTCACTGCCCTTGCCGGTCCCGAGATCCGCTGTACCCGATGCGGCCGGGACCGGCACGGCTCTGTGACAGGAGTATACGAACTCCCTTTTGATCTCCTCACAGTCCCCGAATGCAGGAAGTGATGTGTATTACATCATTTCCTGCATTCAGTGTCACTCTCCAGCTACAGAAGCTGATGAAGCCGATCTCGGCTGCATCAGCTTCTCTGGAGGTCCCTAGGTGACATTAGGGGTCTTGGAGACCCCTGATGTCTCCCTAAAGAGGACCTGTCATGTAAATTGGCTATCCCATAGGGGGCTTCTTAGCCCCCCATGTAATAGCAATAAAGTTGTATGTAAAAAAAAAAAAGTAATACAAAAATATATTTTAATTC